TTAAACTATTTTGAATATCCTTAAACAATCATAATCAAGCCTGAAACTTTGCTACAAAATAGTGAATTCCCACCCCTGCGCACAACCCAAAATGATAACAGAACCACAACTTCTGATATTGCTTTAGGCACTGCCATAGACAATTGCTTCTAGCAAGCTGTCCATTTCATTTTCCTGGAAAACAATTTTTCTCTAAAGAAAATGCAATACATTTTCTATCCTACTCACATAAATCGTATTTCTCACCTTCCTTCAACTTGGCTTATGACTAGAGAAAGCAATTTTGTTTATCTTCTTTCAAAAGAGAAAAGTTACTTTGGGCAAAAAGCCCTAATCTTACTAAGCTCAATGACAAGTAATCATTGATTTCATTGGGAACACTACATTGCATCACATTTGTTACTGCAACGATCTGTAACCCCATAAGGTGCTCGCTGCATGTTCAGTTTTCATAATATGGCAATGATTTTATTACAGCACACTTGAGACAGAAGAGTTCATACAAGTAAACAAATGGGTATTATTACCATTTGTAATTATAGGGGGCAGGGAAAGTAGTTTGTCTCGCTACCCTCATTCTTTTTTTTTTTATTTTCTTAATAGAGGATGAATGAGGAGCCGACCTAGAGCTTATGGGTCAGGATTAAAGGGGGACAGGGACAGGTGATATTATAGTGGGGTCTGCTACAGACCACCCGACCAGGAAGACTGAGCAGATGAGGCCCTCGGTTGACAGACAGGAGCAGCCTCATGTTCACAAGCCCTGATCCTCATGGGGGACTTCAACCACCCCGATATCTGCTGGAGGGACAACACACCAGGGCATGAGCAATCCAGGAGGTTCCTGGAATGCGTTGATGATAACTTCCTTCTTCAAGTGATAGAGAAGGCAATGAGGAGAGGTGATATGCTGGACCTTGTTCTCCCCAGCAAGGAGGGGCTGGTGGGGAACGTGCTTGTTTGCAGTGACCATGAGATGGTGGAGTTTAAGATCCTTAGGGCACCAAGGGGGCCCCACAACAAGCTTGCTAGCCTGCACTTCAGGAGAGCAGACTTTGGCCTCTTCAGGGATCTGCTTGGTAGAGTACCATGGGATACAGCCCCGGAGGTAAGAGGGGGCCAAGAAAGCTGGTTAATATTCAAGGATCACCTCCTCCAAGATCAGGACTGATGTATTCCGGCAAAGAGGAAGTCAGGCAAAAATGCCAGGAGGCCTGCGTGGATGAACAAGGAGCTCCTGGACAAACTCAAACACAACAAGGAAGTCTGTAGAGGGTGGAATCAAGGCCAGGTAGCCTGGGAGGAATACAGAGAAACTGTCCGAGCAGCCAGGGATCAGGGTAGGAAAGCCAAAACCCTGATAGAATTAAATCTGTCCAGGGACATCAAGGGCAACAACAGAAACTTCTATCGGTATGTTGATGACAAAAGGAAGACTAGGGAAAATGTGGGCCCTCTCCGGAAGGAAATGGGAGACCTCGATACCTGGGATATGGAGAAAGCTGAGGTACTCAATTACTTTTTTGCTTTAGTCTTCACCGGCAAGTGCTCCAGCCACACCGCCCAAGTTGCAGAAGGCGAAGGCAGGCGCTAGAAGAATGAAGAACTGCATGCTGTAGGAGAAGATCTGTTTCAAGACCGTCTGAAGAACACGAGGATGCACAAGTCCATGGGACCTGATAAAATGTATCCGTCAGTCCTGAGGGAACTGGCAGATGAAATTGCTAAGCCACTTTCTGTCATATTTGAGAAGTCATGACAGTTCAGTGAAGTTCCCACTGACTGGAAAAGGGGAAACATAGCCCCCATTTTTGAAAAAGGAAAAAAGAAAGACCTGGGGAACTGCAGACCAGGCAGTCTCACCTCTGTGCCCAGCAAGATCAGGGAGCAGATCCTCCTGGACATGGAAAGGAAGGCACATGGGAAATAGGGAGGTGATTCGTGTCAGCCGACATGGCTTCATTAAGGGCAAATCATGCCTGAACAATTCAATGGACTTCTACAATGGGGTTACAGCAAGGAAGAGCAGCTGACATCATCTATCAGGACTTGCGCGAAGCATTTGACACTGTCCCTTAAAAGATCCTTGTCTCTAAATTGGAGAGACATGGATTTGACAGATGGACCACTCAGTGGATGAGGAATTGGCTGGATGGTTGCACTCAGGGTTGTGGTCAACAGCTCAATGTCCAAGTGGAGACCAGTGATGAGTGACATTCCTCAGGGGTCAGTATTGGGACTGCCACTGTTTAACATCTTTGTCAGTGACACGGACAGTGGGATTCAGTGCACCCTCAGCAAGTTTGCAGATGACACCAAGCTGTGTGGTGCAGTCGACACACTGAGGGGAAGGGATGCCATGCAAAGCGATCTTGACAGTCTTGAGAGGTGTGCACATGCAAACTTCACGAAGTTCAGCAAGACCAAGTGCAAGGTCCTGCACGTGGGTCGAGGCAATCCTAAGCACAAATACAGGCTGGGCGATGAGTCGATGGAGAGCAGCTCTGTGCAGAAGGACTTGAGGGTGTTGGTGGATGTAACACTGAATATGAGCCAGCAATGTGCATTTGCAGCCCAGAAAGCCGATCACATGCTGGGCTGCATTAAAAGAAGCATGGCCAGCAGGTCAAGAGATGTGATTCTCCCCTTCTACTCAGCTCTGGTGAGACCCCGCCTGGAGTGCTGCATTCAGCTCTGGGGCCAGCAACATAAGGCATGGACCTGCTTGAGTGGGTCCAGAAGAGGGCCACAAAGATATTGTGGGGCTGGAGCACCTCCCCTATAAGGACAGGCTGAGAGAGTTGAGGTTGTTCAACCTGGAGAAGAGAAGGCTCCAGGCAGACCTTATAGTGGCCTTCCAGTACTTAAACAAGGCCTACAGGAAAGATGGGGAGGAACTCTTTATCAGGGAGGGTAGTGATAGGACAAGGAGTAACAGTTTCAAACTGAAAGAGGGTAGATTTAGATTAGATATTAAGAAGAAATTCTTTACTGTGGGGGTGGTGAGACACTGTAACAGGTTGGCCAGAGAGGTTATGAATGTCCCCTCCTTGGAGTTGTTCAAGGCCAGGCTGGATGGTGCTTTGGACAACCTGGTCTAGTGGAAGATGTCCCTGCCATGGCAGGGGGGCTGGAACTAGTTGATCTTTAAAGTCCCTTCCAACTCAAACCATTTTATGATTCTATGATTCTATAAAAATTCACATAAACACCCACTGCTGCCGTTCAGTGGCTGACCGTACTTAACATTCACAATTCAATATTTGTTTAATAAGAACATGAGGAATTCATATGAGCCACTGGAATAAGTTTATTGATGAATGGGGCCCCTCATCTAGATGTAATGACAAGTGCAAACCTCTGTATAACACTTTTCATTACAACGAAAATATGAAACAGGAATGGTTGGCTTAATCTGCTTACTAGAGTTTCTATGTTTTCACCAGTATTGAGTTTGATGCTGCTGGACAAACTTCAAAATTATGAACTTTGGCCACATCATCCTCTTGTAAAAAACCACACATTTTTAATGTGAATAGTAAATCATTTTCCTAATGAAACTTTTAAAAATTTTAGAACTCTTTCATGGCTATACTTGATAGATAGAAATCCCTAATTTTGTCTTTTTCTAACACAAACCTGAGAAAATTAGACACACACTCAAATAGCTTCTTAAAAAAAAAAAAAAAAGTCTAGTACTGCATCTTTATACAGATCAATGTCCAATTATAAGCACAGAGTTGCTGTGGCAAAAGGTCAGGAAAAAATAATCTTTCTGGCATTTATTACTTGGAAAATAAGGTCATATATAAGGTCAGCCTTCAAATATATATAGAATAAATTATACTGCAGCATTCTAAATATTCTTCACGGTAAAAATTATATTGCAATTTCAACATAATCTGAAAAATGAAGTTGAACGTGTATTTCCTTATGGCTGTACTACAGAACAGACTAGGCTAAGAGGCAAATACCTATGTCCAATTACTCAATAATTAATAAAAAACTTGTATTTCTGCTTAATTATAAATATAGCTTCTCATTAAGGATGACTTATTTAATAACCTTTTAACTGTCTTTAACACTGAATCATCTTCCTCACAACAAAATGAAATAATAGTAAACATACAAAATATTTAAAACTAATTCAGTGGTGCACTTCCTTCTTGCTTACAGCTTAGAAGTGAAACACAAACACACATAAAGCTGGAGTACTCAGTCTGTCTGACGCTTTTAAAAAACCAGAAGTGTCTCTTGAAATAAAAGACTTCATAATTAGATAAAACACATCTGTAAAAAAAATGAATTGGACACAGAGTATGAGGAAATAAACACGCTTGTTTGTCAGAATTAATGCTTGCAGAGCACTATCATTGTCCTGACATAAGTCATTTTAGCTGTTTCACAGACGCTCATCTTTGGTACCTCCACAGGATGTGAATGAAATTATACTGAAAATCAGATTATGTTATTATTTGACACTTCTCATGCTACTATTAATTGTAAAATCAACATTACAAATAGGAAAATACAGCCATGAAATGAAAACAGCTTCTGATCCATTTTTCCTCCTGTCTGATATCCCAAGCCTCTTTTCTTTTCCTCTTCTTCAAACTATGTGAGGAATGTAAATGACTGGCATTCTTTTATCTGTTGCAGTCATGTCTAGTTTGAATTTCCAAATCACGCTTTGGCAGAAGGACTGTATATAATATATCACAGGCAATGCCAGTGGAGATAAAGTATATTCTAATCATTTTAGAAAAGTACTATTTTTTATTTTTTTTTTAATCTATTTTGGGTGCTTGCAGTTTCATTTCATGTTCGTTCTGAAAGATACTGAGCGTTCTTTGCTCTGGGCTAGCTACAAGATTTACTGTTTTCTCTGATAGTATTATCAGTGGGCTATTCCACCCTGATAAACCGCAACTGCAATACTAATAGGTTTATAATGATGGCTTAAACTCTACGCTTTTGTAAGCATTGGCAGATTCACTCACCTTGTTCAAGTGGCTGGCTTTTAGTTGAAGTAGTTTTCATCTTGAGTGCCTCCCTAACAGACATGTCACAGCAGGAGCCTTTGTTAGTGTCTTGGTCACTGTCAGCCTGATCACTGTCCCCATGCCCGCTGTCCCTCAAGCTGGCTCTTTCTGGATCCTTGAACGTGGAGCTACTGAAATACATATTTAAAAAAGAGAGAGAGAGAGAGAGAGAGAGTTGTATTTACTTGTTCTAAGTTGAATTGTACTCTCTGGCAAAGCAATTTTGACAAGAATGCAAATGGGGAAGCCGAGAAAGTTATTTAATAGGCCTTACCTTTGAACAAACTGCTGCCTGCTGCCCATGTAATTGGGCTCTGCGGGAAAATTGTCTGTCTGTGAAAGAGAAGGAAAAAAATACGTATAGTTGTACACTGGACAAATCTCCTGCAGAGCAACAAGATTTCCTAGAGGAGAAATGATTAATAATTCAAAAATTCCCTTAATCTTCAGATTTGTACATTTTAATTAAATTGGAAAATGCTGGCATGTAATTATGTGCTCAGAACAATTAAATGATTCCGGTCCACAAATTACCTGCTAAAGTAAACAATGAGGCTCCAATAAGTGGCATTCTCTGTTAGTAACCTGACAGATGACACTGTTTATATTTTTTCATTAGTTAGATATTAAGACTGATGGTTATTGAAAATGAGAGAAAAAATTACTTTTGCATATTACAAAAGTGAATTATTCAATAATACTAATTTTTAATCATAATTACATCATCTACTGGGGTTCTGAAGCTCTTACTGCTAATAGAGTTTCATATATTGCTATATTACTCTTGAATTAAAAAAAAAGGCAAGAAAAGCAAGAAAATTTGTGGCTGATTATCTGTGGGGGGGTTTAAATGCTACTGGAAAATTGCAAGCATGAAAATATTTGTATTTTCTCTCTTTAATTTTCATCAGTATTAATAGCTGTGTCAGAATAATGAGAACCACACATGCAAACAAGAACATTAAATGATTGTTGTAGACAAGTTGTTTTTAAAAGAAGGTACTTTCATTAAGTCTGTCATGAGTATATTTTTAGTAGCATGAGCTAAGTAACTGTAGAAGCAGAAGTATTTACAGCGTCCAGACCAACATGGACTCCTGCCAAAGGGAACTGAATTACCCTTGTATCATCAGCTGAAGTTCTTTGGGAGAAAGAGACTGCATCTTTCACAAAACTCCATATACTGTACATTCACACATGTCACTTCTTGCAGCTGACCTAGTGACAGAGCTTCTACTGTTTTCTACATCACTTCATATCACACCACTGTGCTTCACAGCAGCTATGAGTTTTGCAACAGCATCTAGCGTATCAGTATTGGTAATACAGGCAGCGCTCAATTAATGGAGCAGAAGGCCCAAGGTAAGGTTTAATGTTGCACAACAAGTGTTTACACAAGTGACTAACTTCTTAGATATTTGGATTTCCCTGCCACTCTCCACTCCATTTTTTTTTTTTTTTCTTTTTTACAGGTAGGTGGTAACTAGAAATATTTGCTACTTCTTGTATGGTTGGAATGTTAGAGCTTGGAAAAGATGCATGAAGTTACATCTGAAATTTAACAGTCACTGCTGTTTGCAACAGAAAACAGGTAGCCACCCCACACTCTCAAGGTACATGTGAAATAGATGTGGTTATATACCACAGGTAACTTGTGTGATTTAGGGAAGAGATGGAAGACAAAGAATTATCTTCTGTTCGGCATCTATGAAGTCAATTTACACTGTACTTCCTTCTTGTTTCTAGTTAAATCCTTTGGTTCAAGATTAGGATAATTACACACATTGTGTTCACATTTTGAGGCTGTTTCTACTTTGTGTGGACTACATAGCATTGTATACGTTGTTACAAAAATAATCTGATGTTTTATCAGTGAATTTTTATGGACAAACTGTATGACAGAATCAGTTTTTACTCATCTGTTTTCAAAATATAGCATAAAGCACCCATACTTATAATTCTAAATTATTTTTATCATATTAAATTGCACATAATTTGGAAATCTGGGTGTTTATGTCCCACTAGAGACTTGTTCTTTAGCAGCAGTATTAAAAGATGGGTTTATGAAAGTTCTTAAATACTGGCTAAGAAATGCAAACAATATGCTAGATGAGAAAAGGAGAGTTCTGAATATCTGGGACATTAAACTCAGTATTGTGTCACTGCTTTTCGAAGTCAGCATTTCAGAAGCTGATGATTTCAGCTATAGGTATACAAACTTTTTAAAATCTGGCCACTTCAATTAGGGGGCAGTTTAGTGCTTTGTGCTTAAAAACAGACAAGATCCTGGTTTTAATATACGCAACTGGAATAAAAGCTTATTTTAACTTTCAGCACGTTTCAAGTTATGAAAACAAACTTTGAAAACGATCAAAAAAAAAGAATGAAATGGAAGCATAAAGATAAATATTTCATCATTCTTATACGTAATCTCCTAAATGTAGCACATCATAGTTTGGAAGCAGCCTTAATTCTGCCATTTATTCTTTTCTTGTCGCAGATTGTAAACTCTCTTGCATGCAACAAATCTGCCTTATATATATGTACACACATATAATCATTATGACACTGACAGAGACCAATGCTTTTCAACCCAAATAAACCTCTACAATTTCAGATCACATGTCTATTTTCTAGGTCTAATATCTCAGCTATGGATGCCCAGGAAAACTGACCTTATGCTTTTACTTACGTAAGACATCTGCCTCCTCCTAAACACAGCTGCTACTAGAATCAACATTTTCATTTTTTATGTCATTGTCAGGCAAAATGCCCGCTATAAACTGCCTTTTCATCAATTCTGTGCCACTAGAAAAGTCACGACTTTTGCCTTGAAATTAATTATAACACCTCCTTAAAGATGGTGCTAATAACTTATCTATAAGCTGGACCACAGTAAGAACTGGTCATACTTTTTGTTTCTGTTTTTTTTATAGCAAAAAAAAAAGCATTTTGCACACCCTGGACTAGACAAGATACAAATTTTAAAACAGAATCTATGACCACATCTTAGCTGCCATCCTAAAAATGGGAGCTCCTTCTGAGAATTTCTATATTTACAGTAATCATTAATGACCTTTAACTTGGTAATAATTTATCCAATTTCTTACATATTGTATTTTGTAGCTATGCAGTTGGGTGACATATTACAGTGAGTTCATTGCTGCAAAACAAATGTAAAAACATGACAACCATATACAGCCACAGAACTGAGTTTAATTCTTTTCATTCTGTTCTAAAAGCATTAGACCTTCTTCTAAGGACTATGATGCTTGTGTAACAGAGCACTCTGAGATACAGGCAGCAAAGAGGGAATTGCTTTATGTATGATAATATTTATACAAAAATTGGGATAATAAACAAACATTTAATTTTAAGGCTAGGCAGTTTAGAGGAATGTTAGAAACGTAAGCATCTGCTTCACAATGGATTACAGAGAGACATGAATGTCTAACTCCCTTAAACACTTTTTTTTTAATCCCAGCTGAAGTGAGAGGTCATATACTTTAAATTTTTACACTTTAACACGTATGGAAGTGATATTACACATTTCAGCTCATGCATTAACCATACCTCTTTACACTGCATAGATGTAACTAAGAAATGAGTGCTACTTTAAAAATCTATCAACAGCAAATAAACTCGTTGTTCTTCTCTGGGTTTACAGCCCTTTCTAGGAAATCAGAGCCACCATGTCTCTCTTTTTGCCTCCAGTTTTAAGGTAGGTTTCAGATCACCTGCAGGTAACCATCTAAAATCTAGTCACCTACATACAAGATAATTATTCCCATTTTGAGCATCTAGCTTTAGGTACGTACTGCTTCTGCAAATGACTCTCAAGAATCATAGAATCATACAATGATTTGGGTTGGAAGGGACCTTGAAAATCATCTAGTCAAACCCCACCTGCCATAGGCAGAGTCCCCTTCCACTAGACCAGCTTGCTCAAAGTCTCATCCAACCTGGCCTTGAACGCTTCCAGCGAGGGAGCCACCACATTTTCTAAGGGCAACCTGTTCCATTATCTCACAACCCTTGTAGTGAAGAACTTCTTCCTAATACCTAGTCTAAATCTACCCTCTTTCAGTTTGCAACCATTGCTCCTAGTCCTATCACTAAACTCCATGATAGTCCCTCCCCACCTTTCCTGTAGGCCCCCTTTAAGTACTGAAAGGCCACTATAAGGTCTGCCTGGAGCCTTCTCTTCTCCAGGCTGAACAAGCCCAACTCCCTCAGCCTGTCTTTGTAGGAGAGACGGTCCAGCCCCATGATCATCTTCGTGGCCCTCTTCTGGACCCGCTCAAGCAGGTCCATGTCTTTCTTGTGTGGAGGGCCCCAGAGCTGGGCACAGTACTCCAGATGGGGTCTCACCAGAGCAGAGTAGAGGGGGAGAATCACCTCGCTTGACCTGTTGGCCACGCTGGTTTTGATGCAGCCCAGTATGTGGTTGGCTTTCTGGGCTGAGAGAGCACACTGCTGCCTCATATTCAGCTTTTCATCTACCAGCACCCCCAAGACCTTTTCTGCACAGCTGCTCTCTATCCACTCATCGCCCAGCCTGTATCTGTGCTTGGGACCCAGATGCAGGACCTTGCACTATAAGTCCATAAAAGCTATAGGGGAGTCTAGATGACCAGAAAGATGTTCAATGTAACAGCTAAAGCTAAGTAAAATGCATCATATCAGAAAAGGATTACACGGATTTACAATCTCCTGATAAATAACAACAACAAAAAAAAATCAAACGCCAGCACCGTTAACCTCTTGAAGAAAAAAACAAAACAAGCTCCACCCTCCCTCAAGAAATTCCCCAGACACAATCCATCTCTAAAAGTCACCAGAGTTAAATAGTAAAGACATGTTTTCTGTCTCTGTGATTCAAGGTTGAGGGCTGGAGTATCAATTAGGTCACCGACTACTAAGACACAAGTCCTTCAGTAAGAAGAAAACATACTGGGACAAATGGACCCTAAAACTAAAGCAAAAGCAGAACTGTCCACTGCCCTGGTTAGATACTGGAGAATTAAAGTCTGTGATGTCAATCTAACTGTCCATAGCTCCCCTAGAGAAGAGGTCCTGTCCTTTATGGCTCATTTTCACAGTTTAGTGGAACCAGTTAATTTCCAATGAGAGTGTGCTATTAAACCATTCAACAGATATACTCTTTCACAGATGCCACAACGGTCCCTTAAAAATACTTTCTTCCATCTACTTGTCCTAATATGTGACCCTAGAGCAAATTTGAAATTTTAGTAACACTGCCGTTACTGTGACGTTGCAGAAAAATTCCTGAGGATTTCTGTACACAGGTTTAATACAGCTTTCTCAGAAGG